CAGAGAGTACGAAAAAGAAGAATTTAAATATAGAGCAGAAAATATAATACATCTGTAGTTGAAACTTAGAAATGTCATCTAACAATTAATCAGTTCAATTTCTTCAATCAATAATATATTATAGAAAAAGCAAAAGAAAAAAAAAAACAATTTTTTTTTTTTGCAGTAGTAACAGCTAGTCATATCTGCCTGACTGGTAGAATAGAACCATGACGAAGCTTAAAAAATAGGCCTTTCTATAGCCTTAACTAATTATGTGAAATAAATAGACAGCAAACCGTCCTTTTTTTTTTTCTTGGAAGGGGTGAACAATGATCAGTGATTACGGAGGTTTTCCCGTTTTTTCGCTTGTTTTCATTTCTTTCACAGTGGTGTTGTAAAAGAAACAAAAAAAAATTAGGTGGAAGAACATAACTGACAAAATTGAATAGAAATTTTTGTTACTTTGTTACTTTCTTATTGCAGCAGTCTAAACTTTGTTTTTGTATTATTTGCTACTGTTATTCATCGTCATTGTTGTTAGTGTTGGTTTTTTCATTACTTTGTACAACGAAATATTTTTAACTGACGAAAATTTAGCTTCAAATTTAAAAATCCTGTTAACATTCTTAAGTATAGCGACGTTAGCTGAGCATTTCGCTTTGGCCACTCAAAGACAGCGTATTGGATGACAAATTCTTTCTTCCTTTATTGTCATTACGTTCCGCTGTTTTTCTTTTTTTTTTTTTTTTGTGTATGTTGATTTTGAAACTTCGTTTTAACAATTTTGGCAAATAAATTTAGGCCTTGAATAGTTGATTTTGGTTAGAGTAATACAAACTTCAGATGTGAAAATCAAATGAAACCGAGGCAATAGACAGCCGCTTACAGGCGGATGGGTCACTTGAGCGATGTATTTGGCAGAGGCGATCAACGACAGCTTTTTTGTTTGTGCTTTTTTCTTTCGTTTCCGAATCAAAAATTTTTTCTTTGGTAGTGTTTTATTACATTTACAATGTTATTTCTGCGCTGTATAAATTTAGCAATAGCTTTGTTTGTTCTTTTGTACTTTTGCCCTTTTTTTAACAGCTTTTTTTTTGCTGCTTGCCTTTTTAATGGGAAATTCAAATGGAGTAATAGTTTTTTGATTTCTTACAATGAATTTTAGGGAGATCATAGGAAGGAAGAAGTAAATGAGAGGAGTATATCAGTTATAACAGCTGTTATTATAATTTTTTGTCAAGAATATGCACAAAAATATTCCTCTGTTTAATCACTTTCATTTTGCTTCTTAGTCAACAAACAAAGTTGTATCGTTTTCTACTCATCAGCATTTGGATTTGTAAATCTTTGAATGTTTTTTTTTTCATCTGCATCATAAATTTTACTAACAAAAAATGTACGAAGCAAAAAAAAA